TTTCTTCATCATCTGGGGAGTCATGGCTGAGTCTGCGCCCGTCTAAGCAAATCTATTCCGCAGCCTTTGAGCAGGGGTTTTCTTGTCTTGAGGGTCTTTGGGTTTCGAGACCCTTTTTCTTTTGTTGTCCTTCTCGGACTTCGGATTTGAAGGCTTGGTTTTTTCCTCGGACAGAGCCGTCCTCATCTCGGATGCATCGCCAAGGCCTGTAAGGCAAGCGTGAGTAAGTAAAAATGCCGCCAATGTATGGAAAATGTTGGAACTGCTGAAAGGCACTTACCGTGGTTCTTGGCCTCCCACTGGCCCTTCGATAATTCACGCCACTTGCGCTCATCGTAGGAAGAAGTGGCAGCTAAGTTTCGCCATCCTCGAGGTCGGGCACCGCTGGGGGCGCCCGAGCATTAGCTGACAAAAGAAAGATAGAAGAGTTATGGAAAATGAAAGCAGAATATAAATTGATACATGAATACGGACTCCACTTACGGTTAAAGTTCCACCTCTCCTGGAACGACATTTTATTTCCGGGGATGACGTCCGAAGTTCTTACTCTAACAAACCGGCTCATCCAACCCCGATCTTTGGTTTCGTCGGTACTGGTAAAGAAGGCTTTCATTGTTCGGCGTTGCAGCTTGATGAGCCTTCGAAATAAGTGGGGCCAATATAATCGAACCAGGTGGCTGAGGGTGAATTCCAAACCCTCGACCTTCTCAGAGAAAAACCGCAACATGATCACGATACGCCAAAAAGAAGGGTGAATCTGGCCGAGGGTGACTTCGTACGTTTTGGAGAAGTCAATCACCACCGGGTCGAGGGGACCCAGTGTGAAGGGGTAAGTGTAGACACTTAAGAACCCCTCCACGTGGGTAGTAATGCTTTTGTCGAGGTTCGTGATCTAAACCTCAACCCCATCTCCCCAGCCACATTTCTTCTTTACATCCTCGACAAACTTCGTCGTAATCAAGCTAATATATCGAGACACGTGTTCGCATCGACCTGCCATGTCGGGGAATTCTCAATACTAAAGTCTTTCTTAATAATTCAAGGACCAGGGGTGTTCTCCTCAAGTGTTGGCGGCACCACCAGTCTGGCCGGCCGGGAGGCAGAAGAAGACGATGCTTTGTCCCTTTTGGGAATTGTTTTGGAAGTTCTGGCCATAGTTATAAGTTAAAGAATAGGGATTGCATAGGGGTGTGTTGTTTCAGGCAAGAGCTTGGCATTTTTCGGTGCTTAAAGAGGCGGAGGAAATGGGTGATTGGAGAAAGAGATGAAGATGGGAAAGGGGTGAAGAAAGGGTAAAGTTCTTTACTTAGAGGAATCACCTCATATTTATAGAAGGGCAACGACGGTTCGGTGGTATTAGTGACTGACCAATGCTGGTATGCATTCAATGTTTTTGGGGAAGTGAACAGACGGGACGCTTCGGTCACTATGAACACTTGCATCAGGGAAATGACGTCATTGCTGAGGACTTCGGGAATCCAAATCGTTTCATATCATTTCATTCTAAGAAATGCGGGGACAATCTGTATACGGTAGAAATCGGAGAGCTCGATTTCTAAGGTCGGATTACACTCCGAGTCCGAGTCTTGAAAGCTTAGAGTAATAATCAAGCCAGACCCGGATGAGCGCACCTCGAGAAGCAAATCAGGGACCCGTCATGATCTGCCTCGAGGGCAGTAGAATTTCGATGACACTCAAGAAAAAGCGGAAATTTTCAAGAACACGTGGGTCAGGGTATAAAGTAAGAAATTAGATTTGTACGAAATAGTACAAGTCCATACTAGGTTGTTATACAGCTGTACCAATAGAATTCTTAAACATAATTGGAAATGTACCATATTAGGATTTTCCCCTTCTATAGAAAGGGACCCCAATCTTTGTAAAGCATATCTCATTCTCTGCAATAGAACATTCTACTCTGCTTTTCTTGTTTACCATGCTCAACAATTGTTCTTCAACTTTATTGTCTTTACTTTATTGTTCATACTTTATTGCTCTTAGCTCACCTCGAGGCCCCTGAGATAATCGAGCTCGAGGTCCTTATTGCTCTAACAACACTGGTTTGGTTCATCAGTTCTTCTTGCTTAAACTTAATATTATTTGTACATTTACTAGTATTGGAATAAATCACATATCTTTAAAACCGCAAATCATATTTAATTGTTACTAGCATTTTTCGAGGTAAACAGATCTACCGTTCTTACTTAGAATTTTCTATTTCGTGGGTTAATATTTTACCAACTGCATTTTATCCTTGATTATTGTATTTCCTTCGGCTTGCTTTCATTTCTCTACCATTAGTTGTATCACTAGTGTCTCTTGCGTGATTAAGTTACATTACATTTCATCCTATATTTAAGCTTTGCCTACTTTACGCTTTGCCTGCTCGTCTGCATTTGTAGTAGTTAAGGTTTAGTTTATATCCCTTTAATTTTATTGGTGTAGTGGTTATTCTGAGCGATGGTAGAGTAAGGTCGTGTCCTCGTGTGGATCAACGAGTGGGTCAAGGGGCAGGTGGCAAGGGTGGCAAGGGGGTAAGGCATACACAAGGTTGAGAGTTGGATCCTAAAACATAGGACATTGACGGGTAAGTCGATAGAGTTGGGGAAGATTCTGTCACGACCCAAAATCCGACTAGTCGTGATGGCACCTAACCCAACCCGCTAGGTAAGCCAGTTTAGCAATAATCCTACTTCAAATGAGATTTAATGAAAAAATAGTGATGAAATAATTGAACTTTTAAACAACTTCACAAGGACTTCTAGTACAAATCATGAGCTTCTAAGACTTAGAGTTACAAAACTGGTATGAAACAAATACATCATCTGTTTGAAATGTACATAAAAAAGTTTTTTATAAATCTAAAGCTACCATGAATAAGAGGCAGCTACAACCGGAACGCTGGTACATCTTCAATGCCATCTCCCCCCACACATAGCAACATCATCTCCAAAATCTGCACGCAAGGTGCATAAGTGTAGTATGAGTACAACCGACCTCATGTACTCAATAAGTAACAACTTTAACCTTAGGTTTAAAGCAGTGACGAGTTTGAACAGCGGTCAGGGTCTAACACAAAAATCAAGAACTAACTCGTAACAATATAATGAAAACAGTACAAGTAATACTCAAAGATATGATACTGATATCGTTCATAGCAAGATCCATTTCATCAGCTTCTGCATCAGATTTATTTATATAATATTTTCTAATCCACTTGACATGCAATATCTAGTACAAGGGAGAGTAAATAAATATGTGGTACAGATTAAAAAAAATTGACAACTCAATTGAAAGAAAAAATATTTTGCACGAGGAAAACAATTAGTTAACTAATGCACAAACAAATCTCCTTATCTCATAGAAAAATCCATGTAACATGAAGTCATACTAATAGGGTGATGCTGAAACTTGTTCGACTGTTTATTCAGTGATTAGTAAGAAAACTAAGTACGTACATGGTAATATATGTATTTGAACATCTTCAGCTGTTTCATTCAGATCTGAGGCCAAGTGACAAATCCTGTATCTTACTGGATTTCTCCCCAGCAAGGTGAATATTTCCTACATTTTATTGAAGACTAATTCAGTCTTTGACTAGTTCCTTTCCCTGTTAGTGTATCTCTTAAATATTTCTCACAAGTTGTTAGTCAAATAATGACAATATTTGTTGCTTAAGTTGTGTTAGTAGCTGAGGAAAAATCTTAAGCTAATTGTTAGTCTTATTTCTCACAAGTGTTACTCAAATGTTTGTAGGGAAATTCAGAACTACATGCTGTCTACCCTTTTAGCTCCGATTGAAATTGAACTGGCCGATTAATCATATTTACATTTGGTTGGAGTTAAAAACATTTTTATATAAAATAATTTTATTCTAGAAATTAGAACTTCAGCACAATACATAAATACTGAATTGTTTTTCAACTTTTAGTCCACAAATTCAACTGGCTTGAGAAGCCAAACCCAAAAAAATTTCAAGAAAAGCAGCAATTTTGGAAGAAGAAGGGCAATTTTAGTCATGTTTAATTTTTGCTGGAGAGGAGCTGAATTTGGTTAACTGTCTGTAAGCATTTATACATTGTATGATAGATTAAGAGGTGGAGTAGCTGTTTGTGATGGATTATCAGATAATAATTTAATAATATCTGTGTAGTTTCTTGCTGGGATGTTACGTTGTTATTACCATTTTCTCTTTCGAAACAGATGAACCAATTTTTTAAGTAGAGGATACTTTGTATATCCCACTAGCTATAACTTCTGTCTTCCTTATCTTGACAATTTTCGAGTATTGGTTAGAATCAATTGAGTTAAAGCTGACTAATTAGCATCTATTCTAAAAAAAATATATATATTTTTAATATTTCAAACTTTTAATTAGAAAAATGCTTTTAAGACTTGTTGTTTGATTTTAATTAAAATGGTGGACTACCTCTCTCAGAATGAAGTGATATTTGATTTATATTCACGGTATAATTTTTCTCCCTTAGGACACTGTAGCTCTGGCACTTACCTATTTATAGATGTGTTTGGGTCTGGGATGGTGTAGTGGTTCTTATAAGGTCTTACCTTTTTTTACAAAATTGGTATTTATGTTGGAGTACTATTTTCAAGGAGCGTCATAGTTATTGTTTATGAATAAAGAATTTATTTTGTTGTGAAACAACACTATAGTGAATGGTGTATCCACTATCCACCACCGGCATGAGCTTAAAAAAATCTCTTATGTCAGTAAAATGGATATGGATCAGTAAGGATGTTGAGATGCAAATCATATCCACTTGTTATGGTGGTAACAAAAGAGAACTATTCTTTCTTAAAAAAAAAAAGGATAGAGATTATATATGTAAATCTACTACTAGTATTATATATATATATATATATATATATATATAAAAATAAAATCTGAAAATTGTCTTCTTGCATCATGCTCCAATTTCTTCGTGCAATCTGATCTGTACAATTCCACTCTGACCACTTTTTTCTGCATTTAAACTGACTAGCTACTTCTTTTAGACCTCATTAGCAACTTCGTGCAACTGCATATAAGCTCTCGATCCTTATCCTTTTCCTTTTTGGACTATCGAAGAGATGAAGGTGTAGTAAATATTTGTAATCATGTCTAGAGAAATCGAAGAGATAGGAGAAGATAGAAAGAATGTAACAATTAGCAGCAAATTAGATGGTGGAAAAAATCATGATATCTATATTGTTGTTGGCAAAAAGGACTTGCATGTTCTTCAATGGGCACTTGATCATGCCATCTCTCCAGGAGTTCACATATGTCTTGTCCATGTTTTCCCTCCCATAACCTACTTCCATACACCAGGTAATTACTTTTACTACTCTTTCCTTTTCAAATTATGTAACACACTTTCCTCAATCGTATTCTAAAGTAAAATTTTGTATGATAGTTGGGAAGCTATCAAGAAATCAGTTGAGCCAAGAGCAGGTGAAAGTGTACATCAATGAAGAGAATAACAGGAGGAAGAATCTCTTGGAAAAATACATGTCCCTATGCAATGATTCCAAAAAGGGCGTAAGTTTATGTATATTGGAAATTAGTTCACATGACACTACTTTGGGTGATTAATAATTTTGGCATTGAAATATATGCAAATAAACACATATTCTTAACAAGCAAGCAAAGACCGCATTACTAAGTTGGTTGTGAAAATAATAATTGAACATTGGAGTTGTATTTAGGCATGAATACAATTTCCAAATTAGGTTGATTAATAATTTTGGGTGCGCACAGGTACCTGTAGATACTATGCTTGTGGAGAGCAACTCACCATCTAAAGCATTACTTGACCTTATCTCTGTCGTCAACATAACCAGCCTTATACTTGGAACTAAGCGATCAACTTCCACAGGGTAAATATATTCATTACAGATCATTCACATCTTTAAATTATACGTATGGCTAATTGTTGTTGTTTTTGCAATTTCAGCAAGGGACAAGGAATAGGTGATTTTGTACAAAAAAATGCACCACATTCCTGTGAGGTTACGCTGGTTTCTGCTGGAAAAAGGATTAAGAACGACCAACTAAAAGAGAGTTGTAATTCTTACTCTCTTGGATATAGGCATTCCAAAAGGAATTTATTTGAATGCATCTGCTTTCCCGGCAAATAGGTAAAGAGTTTACACTCCATCTAGTTGTAGCGCTGTGATTCTTGAACTATAACTTGGGTCTCTCTGTCCCCTATGTAATCGAAAAGAGCTAGGCACCTCTTGTAGCTTTATTCAGTTTTAATAGTCCAATAATAGCATTTAATAGTGCAATAATAGCATTGCTAATTGGAATGTAATATCCGGGGGCGGCCCAATGGTAAAGCCACTCAAGCAACTGCTTAGGCCCCAAATCTGGGGCGAGGGGTGGGGGGGGGGGGGGGTAGGGGGGTAGGGTATGTTACT